TGTTTGATCATTGCATGTTACATGTACATGTACACATCATGTACATGTATTTTATTGTTTTTTTATTTTTTAGCTAATTATGATGTCATCAGGGAGCTCCTAACTCCAAATAATGCCCCACTATCTCTCCCTCCACCTTTACCCCCCAAACGCTCAAAAATGCCGAAACCTGAAACAACCACACCCTCTGCTCCCCCTCTACCCCCCAGGGGGCCAAAATATTACCGCATGAAAGTCGAGGGTCTGGACATCAAGAGGAAACCATTATTCTATCAAAGCCTCTCCCTGTTCTCATTAAAATGTTTATTAAATGGTGTCCTTCAGAACAGGTCCCAGCTATTAAGGGATCACCTAACAGGTACTATCACCCTCGGACAGGTCTCCGCCCTTTCATGGATCTTCCTTAACGTACAGACCACGCCCACAGACTCAGAGAGTTCTTCAAAGTTTTTATCGGTCTCTGAATTCTCTTGTATCGTACCTCAGCTCTTGCACTCTCTTGTTGATTCAGAGGCTATTAGTTTTGAGCATCATGGGCCGCTATTGAGGGACCTTGGTCTGTTGCCTGGCTGCTGGCCGTTGTTCATTATACCATCGCCTCTGTCTTTACCGGCCAGTGTACTGGTTATTAGAGCAGCGAGGAATAACGATGATCCACTCTGTGTTAATATATGGAGAGGGTGAGTTTACTAGAATATGCTGTGTTTTACTAAAATTTACAAGAATATCCTAAGATATGCATTGTTTTTTTAAGTTTCCTTAATTTGCATTTGAATATACTGTGTTTTACTAGAATATAATATAATTTACTAGTTACATGCACTTGTGTCTTTTAGGTTTTTGTCTACACTTGAAGAAAATGCATCAAATGAAAATGACCACGAAGAAGGTACACATGTACATGTACTGTATAATTGAACACTACTACTTGTACATGTACATGTACACTACATTACATGTACTTATTTCCTTTCCTTATCTCTCTATCAGATCTACCTGTTACTCATCTCCAGTTATTGTTGTTGGTGTGGGGTAGTTTCTCTGATAGTGTTAGGAAGGAGTTACTACTCAAGTGTGTAGCAGCTGTCAATAAAGTGGCTGAAGAGAAAGAGTGAGTCATTTTGATTTTACATGTACATGTACATGTAAGTGTTATTTACATACATGTATGTGTGCCTGAACATTTACCTGTACATGTACATGTACATGTATGTTTGTGACATGTTTCTGAAGTATAGAATGTCTTCTCAGAAACATTATGTCACGATTTTACAACCACGCAAAAACAGGCTAGTACATGTTATAAACATCACATGTAAGTGTTATTTACATGTACATGTTACATGTAAGTGTGGCATGTTTCTGAGGTATGGGGTTGTTTCTTACAAGCATTATGTCACAATTCACAAACATGCAAAAACAGGCTAGTACATGTTATAAACATGCATTAAGCATGCAGGTACATGAGTAC